TGTTTGTCCTCCCTGTTGTAGAAAGAAAGCTTCCTATTTACTGTAAATAAACATGGATTTTTGCAGGTCTTGGGCATTGTAATTTCTTAATGTTTTTCAGCTCTTCGAATGGATATCAGATTCTGTCTCTTCCAGATTTGTCTCAGCTGTTGGCACCTTCTTAAGCAGTATAAGAACTTTGATAGTAGTCATCCTCTGCCCTGTGTGTTTCTAATGCTCTGAATGTTAAGATACCTCTAATCATACAGATACTGGATAAAGCTAACATCTACCAAAAAGATTTCAGTTATTGGCACTTTCATACTTCATTTGCTTTTTACTTTCTTTTCTTTTTCTTTCTCTTCATGCTAATCATTATCTGGCTATGAAAGGATGTCGGCTCATCATTGGGGGAAGGCTTTTGCGAAAAGGTGGGTTTTGCATTGTGTTCCAAATATAGTTGGTCTTAGGCTCAGTCCCTCCCTCACAGTAAGGTCTCTCACAGATGGAGATGGTTTCTTTCTGGGTTGAGCAATACCAGGGTGGGGCTGGGGCAAGCAGGAGAATACTCTTTTTTTTTTTTTCTTTTTTTTTTTTCTTCTTCCCCTTTGTGAGAGCTGTTGTCTTGTTGGCTTGAGAATGGATAGCTTTTTAGAGAACCCTCCTCAGTGTAAAAAAACCCACCTCTTTAAAGTATTTAAAAGATTTTGAAATGGAACCTGATGCATGCCAAGATATGGAAGAAAATGCTGTCTTGTCATGAATGGATTTCAGGAGACTCTTCTTTTAAAAGAGAAAGTGACTCTAGCTGGCCTGAAGCCACACAAAGTATCCATTCTCCTTGCTTGCTTCAGTTCCTGATCTGCAGTGTAATGGTCTTCCTTTGCGTGAAGACAGGTATTTTGGGAATCCCTCAGCCATGGTGAGTGTCATGAATGAGTGTTACAATTACACAGAACGCGCTTCCAGGAGATACAGCTCGCCTGCCACAATGTATGGAAAATTACTACAAATAAACATGTGCTTGTTTTAAATTTTATGTTTTTAAGACAACCCCCTTTCTTATTGAAGCCATATAAGTGTGGACCTGGGAAAGAAGCCTGAAACTGAACAGAATCTTTGGGGGTCAGGGGGTGAAGGAAGCAAAATCTGTGGAGTTGAGGGTCTGCTTGGGAAAAGACAGATGACCTGCATCTCAGTTTAGAGCAGAGGATGCTATTAGTATTTCTCCAAGCTGAGATTGGAGCTGTTAATCTGTGGCAATGATTTTGTTGCATCAAAGTAGCTGCTGAGGAAACTACACCGGGAAGTAGCTGAGTACAGCCAAATGCTATACAAGCCAATGCCTGACTTGAACTTTTCCTGGACCATCTATATTTTTACCTTTTTGCTTACACCATTTAGCTTCCCATCTACCTGTCATGGCTTCTTGAAAATTACTTGGGTGGGAGAAACACTTTTACTCTTGTTTTGAGTTTATGCCTTTTAGTACTGCATGCTACCAAGCCCTCTTCTTTCTTCATTTCCATAAGCAAAAGAAAATCCATGTTGAAACTGGGAAGCTGTTTTCTGCAGTTTTTTAGAAAGCTTGTCTTCTGTTCGATATAATAATCTTGTGTTTGACAGAGGAAGGACTTGCTGATAGATTTGCTTATGTGGAGTGAAAGAAAGTCTGAATTAGATGTGTTTGCAAATGGACAGATTTCTACAGAGCAAAACATGGTTACAAGCAAGTCAGTTGGAGAGAAACTAAACTGCTTAGGAACACACAGTTTGATATTGAAAAGCCACAGCTGAAAAAGGTCACTTTCTTGAAAAGAAATAATCTGGGTTAGAGTGGAAATGCAAACCTCCGTACAGGGAGACTGTGTTAAATTTATCAGCACTAGTCCAAATAAGTTCACAGCTGATAATTCCTCCCTTGAAGTGTAAAGCTAGAAAGCATGAAAAAAAAAAAAAAGACAGGACACAAGAAGTCATTCCTCAGCAAAGGACAGTCAAGCTCTCAAGACACATTAACTTAACGTGGTTTACTATGTGGAATAGAATTTGTTAGCATAACATAATCTTTCTTTTATCTACTATTGTTTATATAAAGTAGGATATAACGTGTACACAGGCGCTCTGGTTTGGGAGTACGTGGTACCTGATGCCCACATCTCAACTGCCTCATAAGGTAGCTCAGGTCTAACACAGTTTATTAGTTCGGGCACAAAACAGCAGAGATGCAGACACGCCGTTTTCGGAGTCAGCTGTGTGGTTCAGAAGCAACCTGCTTCTTGAGTGTGTCTACTGGGGGGCCTGAGCTAATAAGCCCTGCTTGGTGGCAGGCTGGCTCGTGCTGAAGCCAGCTTGTGTGCCACGTGCCCAGGGGTGAGAGGGCTATGGTCTAAATAATGCTGATATACTTCTTTTTCTGAGGCAGGCTATCAGTTCGGTGTAGTGCAATGTAAGTAGTACAGGTGTGTTCCTGGGATGCTGTACTTGAAGTGAAAGTGACCCTTCTTCCAATATATCAAAGAAATATCCTTGTGGCCCTGTACAGAACATCACAGTTCCTGATTGCTGGAGGTAGCAACGTAGGAGGATGTCAGCATCTAGCATCAGCAGTTGCTGCTTTTTTCCAGCTGGTCTGAATAACTTGACACTTAAAGGTACCAGATGAGCTGACAGAGAAGTTCTCTGCATTGTGTGCTGTGGGGTTTGTTAGAAGTCAAAGTTCAGGGAAGTATAGAGGATTTGCATTGCTGTGCTAGTATATACAGAGGTAAATAAGATGGCCTGAACAACCAGCAGCAGCCTGGCATCAAGGGCGTGCAAAATAGTGACATTGCTGATACAGGGTTTCACTGGCTTTAGTTCCTTCAGCTGGGTGAGTGGTCTTGTCCTTTCTCTCCTTCAGAATTATTGACTAGTAAACAGTTATCCAGTTGTCATAGGTCCTGAGATATTAGTGAGAACAAGGAATTGTTATCAAGCATTGAATTTTTACTGAATCTTGTTATGGGTGTGCTGCTTGTTCCTGTGTCAGTTATTAGTGGTTTGGAAGAAGAATATACTACTGCTTCTGAAAACTAGGATAAAGATTGCTTGAATATTAAATAGGACAGGATGGGCCAATCATGGGGAACGTGTAATGACCTGGATGTAAGGAAAAACTGTTTTTCACTTCAGCCAAATGTGAGATCACATATGTGAGGAACCAGCAATGAAAGTCATTATGTGCGGTAAGGGAATGGGAGGCGATAATTCTTAAGAAGAGTTAGGGTCAGTGTCAGGTGGTCAGATGGAGATGGTGTTCTGCCAAGAAGGGCTAGTTCTGTCCATGGAAAATCAGTGGGGTGTTGAACAGAAGATGCAATCTCTGTGTTTAGTCCTACTGCACCTACTGTCGATATGGCATGTCCAGTTCTAGCGTGAGCCCCACAAAAAGATGTTGGAAAAATAGGAGAGGGTTCTGAAAAGAACTACAAGAAAAGTTTTCTTGCCTTTAATCATTCTTACAGCAGCCGTCTAGGGAGTTCCATATATCTCCCTCTCTCTCTAACTTACTAAAGCGAAGGAGTAATGTGATCATAGTGATTAAGTACCTATATGGGAAGTACAAATCTAGTGACAAACCAGCAGTCGGGCAGTAAGGCACAGCTAAAGCCAGACTGATACTAAAACGTTATCTGTACCACAGTGTGTGTGTGTAGTGGGGTTAAATAGTAACTATTGGAACAATTCTCTAAGAGTTGCGGTAGACTACTATCAGTAGTATTTCTTAAGTGAAATGAATGTGTTTTTAAAAAATAATTTGATCACAGCTGTTGCACTCAAATTAACAAACCAAGGAACTTAAGATGCCAGAGTATGTGGTCACAAGGTTACATCAGGTTATTAAACAGTGTGAAACTTGCCTATTGTCATGCAGGCATGGATTTGTTCATTTGTGCCTGTACCATCCTTGTTAGCTCTTGAGTTATGATCTCACATCCTTATGCTACAGCAATTTTCAGGCTGAGTGTTCCTGTATGCCAGATTTTGGGTTGTCCCCGTTGGGTTTCAGCAAGAGTAGTAGTAGTAGAAGAGCAAGATCGGGGATTTCTGGGATGACTGAATTTAGCCTGTCATCTTCTGTGTAGCCAGATGTTTGCTCCACATTTGCAGACTACTGAGCATTTCTAACTAATACTTTAATTAATGAAGTTGGTGTATAGACTTCAACCATGAGTTAAGAACTAAGGGACTTGAGGGGACCTGCTCTTTCATAAACAGGCTATTAGGAAACGAAAAAGACTTTACTGTTATCATAACCATGTGATGTAATGAATAGACTATTACAGGTATGATATATGCCCATTCATTTTTATGATTAATAGCTGTTCAGGGAAGCTGGGTGAAAGAAACTTACCAGATTGCAGACAGCATCTCAGATCTCTGTAACTGGTGCTCAGCCTATTGATATCTGAGGTTTCCACACATTAGGTAAGATTTATTCCTTTGTCCTCCAGGCCTTCCTGGGTTTGAGGTTTTGTAGGAACAAGAGTCCAGTATAAAAGAAAAAAAAAACAACCCTTTTATTATTTTATCGGTAGTATTAAACTCTCCAATAAGGGTAAACATTTCATGGTATGTGCTTTTAGAAAAAGCTTTGTTCGTGTTCCTTTCCAAAGGCTTTCCTGCTCTAGTTAGGCACAGTAATGCAAATGGGGAATAATATCAAATACCTCCATGTTCCATAAGTGATTCATCAGTCCATGTAGGTTACTTAAAAATGCTCAACTGTTGCTGCAGTTGAGGTGACGTTCCGCTTGGTCTTTACCAGGTAACGAAACGGATATTGTCTTATGAACTGGGAGCTGCTTATTGTCCCCATCAGAACAAAGTTCAGCGTGAATCTGAAGTTCAAGTTGGGTCCTTTGAAGTTTTCTTCAAAGGAGTTGCTAATGTTTTTGAATGTTGTATACTTGTCATCATTGATGTGTTTTGTCTTTATTTCTCAGCCTTATCTGTGTATGTTTTTATTGCAGCACACGTCCCATGGAGATGGACGGCAGGAAGTTTCCTCTCGAACTGGGCGCTCTGGAGCTCGCTGCAGGAACTCTATAGCTTCCTGCGCAGATGAGCAGCCGCATATTGGAAATTACAGACTCCTTAAAACGATTGGAAAGGGGAATTTTGCAAAAGTAAAACTGGCAAGGCACATCCTAACTGGCAGAGAGGTAAAGTGGTATGGCTGTAAACAGTAGTGAATTGCAGTAGGTGTGAAGGTTCTCTTAGAATAGCATCATCTAAGTCTGTGAACATTTAGCGCATTTTACTAGAGATACTGCCACTGATGTAGAAAAAAAAATAGAAGTGGAAGACTTTTTTTTTGTGTGTAATGATTACAAAACAATTTCTCTTGGAAACGGTCTCTTAAATTTGTATTTTTGACAAGTCCCTGTCCAACTAAATTGGGTTCAAATTTGCTACTAGAATTCTCTGCTGAATCCTCCATTCCCAAAATAGGGCTCAATATATAGCAACTAAATAAACTTGCTGGAAAGTGCCTCTTGGTGTCTCTATACTGCACGGTGCAGTGCTGTATTGGAGGGGAAGTCAGGAATGAGAATTAATGTATCTTGTTTATGGTCTGAGTAGCCCAAATACAGTGTTTTCTTGGCAAAGCAATGTATCTCCCAGGAGTTCTGCTAGTGTTTGCAGTGCTGGGCAGCCTTGGGAAGATGCTCCCGTTTGTTCATAGCTGGTTTGTGTGTCTGTTTCTCAGCGTTGTGTGACGTAGACAAGCTTTCTCTTGTATCTCTTCATAGTGTCTAGCTCAGCTTCATAATTGGCTTTTCCATGCCATTACAATGTAATTAATAATTTGCCTTTAATGGTCGTTCTGATTTGGTGAGCTATAGTCCTGTTTGCTTCTTACAAGAGGGTGTTTCTCGGTGCTGTTTTATTAATAGCAACTCTACGTACTGAAAGAGGGAGAAACACCTTCTTGACTTTTTCTTGCCAAACCTGTCTAATGAAGTAAATGTTTGCTGATAGCAGCAAGGACTTTTAAAAAGCTGTGTGGCTGGCTGCAGCGCTTTCAGGGAATTTCTTTTTTCTGAGCTAACGTGGAGTTCAGTAGTACTAGGAGGAACAGAGTGGGCATAATTTTGAGAGTTGTTGGGAGGGATTTTTTTTGTATTATTAAGCTGATCCAGCGATCAGCTGTTGTCTTCTGGTGTTAAAGTTAGTACATGTTTCTAGACACAGATTTTGGTTAATTACTTTCCAGTTAAGTTCCCTCCTCTTTTTACTGATGCTTAACACAGAAAATGCAAGTACTTGGTTAGTATTTCTTTGCTATTATTAATATAGGATTTGGAGATAGGTATTGTGTCACACATTGCTTTGCAAAAATTGAATTACATTTTCTTTTTCTTGCACATAACTGTGTTGACCTCTGATTCATTATTTTTGTTTGAAATTTCAACAAAGTGACAGCGTAAAATCTTTGGCCAAATTTGGGAAGACTTAAGTACTAAGTTTCTTTAGCTCTCACGGAATAGATATTATTGAATCAATTCAGAGGATAAATTTGTTCTGGGACATGGCCATTGGTCCTGGTTACCTAGAACAAGTGGCATTCCTTTGAAGGGAATGATTAAGCTAGTTTTATAGGAATATCTTGAAGGTATTTTCAACTTTTTTTTTTTCTTTGTAAGAGAGATGAGTAAAAGTTTCTTTTCTTGCTAGGTGATCAATACAGCATTGATAATAATTACATATTTCTGAGGTGTGTGACCAGAATTCTTCACAATATTCTGGATAGCAATTTCTCCAGTGTCATTAATTTACCCTTGCCCTTTCAGAAGTATTTATCCAGTCAATCTTTAAATTGTGCTAACCTTTTTCATGGCTGTGACATTGATGGTTTTTTGGTTGTGATCAGCAACAGCACCTTGTACTTTGTTGAATCTCACTTTCTTTGCGAACTCATCTCCAAGGTTGTTTATATCAGTTTTCCATTGTATTTGATGGTGCCTCTTAACTCCTTCAACAAACTTAATCATTATGGTTTGACTTCCCGTGCCAAGGCCACAGATACAGATATTAAACAAGATTGGTCCGAAGTCTTGTCCTTGAAAAACTTCTGATATCTTTTTAGCCATTTTTTAATTAAAAAGCTCTGTGCACATTTCAGCTTATCTAGTTCAGTAATTTCCATGCATCCTCCTAGATGAAACTTTACAATAGTCCAGATAGTCATATCTTGTGTGTTTCCATAGGGCCCAATTAGCTGTAGGAAAATATGTTGCATTTAACCCTTCTATTTCCCTATTTTTTTCCCCTGCAAGTTTCGAGCTCAGGAATTTTGTGGTAAATGTCTCTACTAGGAAAATAAAAAGTTAAGTCTGATAATTTCTAAACCTGTGCTGCCATTTTGTTCTTGATAGGTGTTAGAAATCTGTGCTACAAGAATGTTTTTTCTTTTTTTCTTTTGTTTTTATCCTTTTTGCTGCCACTCTTAATAATTCTGGGATAAAGTTCTCAGTCTGGCCTCAGCCAGACAGCCCTCATCTTCCTGAATTTGTGATTTCCTGCTTTACACACTCATTCCTTCTGGCTGTCCTGTCTTTGTTCCTATTCTTTTTTCCATCTTATGTACCAAAACCTAAAATAAAATGCTTAGTTTTGGGAGTCACACTTCAATGAGTTTTCATCTCTACCGTATCCTTGCTATATTTGAACTCTACTTATCTTCCTGTTATCTATGTGGCTGTTTTTAATGTCCTTTTAAATGTCTGATTCAGTTTCGCTTTGTGGCAATTCCCTCTTTATATCTCTGAGCTGATTAACTTCTAAATCATGCAGCAGATCAGGACTTTTCTGTCACTTTGGAGGAGGGTGTGTTTGTTCAAGCATTCTTTTAGGGCAGTTGCTCATCTCCTTACATCTGGAGTCCTTCCCTATGAATTTTTCCTGTTGCTTGACAGCTTTCATGTTTCCAATGGAGTAAGTTCAGGATTCTCTTTCATTTCCATCTTTAGTGTGTCTGCAGGATATATGATGAGAGCCCAGCCTGAAATTACAGAAAGGGAGAAACGTTTAGCCCTTCAGGGGGTGATCAGAGCATCAGCCAAACTTGGGGGGTTTGAATTGTCCTGCCAAGGAGTGTGTGGCTTTCTGCTCACTGCAGAGGTATGGAGGGTGGGTTAGCTTCGCTGCAGTAGAGCTGCTGTTTGGAAACATGCTCCTTTGAGATTCTTTGTCTAGGAGAGTATTATTTGTAGTCTGCCTGCCTTTTCGAAACGAAGAGTCTTCATTGTAAATCTGCTTTTGTTAATTCTTTTAAGCCATGTATTTTCTGTTGCAATTTATCAAAGGTTATTTCTTCTGACAAGTTTTGCATACTTGCCAAAATTAATCTAAAAGATAAAACTACCTTTTGCTGTTACTGAGGTGGTTGGAATCACAGCCAAAAATACATGGATCCTTCTGTTCGTTACAGGCATGTGTTCAGTTAATAGCCAGGAAGTTGAAGTTTCCTGGTGAGACAGGATTCTTTCATGATCCAAGTCTGACTCCAAGGAATCTATTGTCATCTTCTTTCTGTTCTTTCCTTGGAAAAAGTGAAATTTCAGAGGGAGAAGACATTCTGAATGGTAGCAGTTTGGCCAGTTTGCTTAGTGTCTCAACTTATGATTGCTTTACCTCCCTCGTTCACATCATGCGGGAGGACTATTTTGGGTCTTCTTATTGTGAATGGTGAAAGCAAAGTTAATTTTAATTCTACTAACAATCTCACACAGAATATCGGGGCTGGTGTAGCAGTGTAGATAGACTTGCATTCTTCCAACATTGGCCATAGCACACAATACTCGACACCATTCCAGGTTTGCTTTGTGTAAAGAGGGCAAAGTTTCTGGTTTGGAAGGCAATTTGATGCTTTATTAACTATGCTTAGTAAAACAGAGGATTTTCTTTCTCAGGCTCATCAAAACTGTTCTTGAGGGCAGGCTCCCTTTGCCTGTGATTTGGAGACCTTATCAAGGCACCTGAAATTACTCCCTGTTCTGATGATGGGTTCAAGCTCTTCAAGTCAGTGTTGTTAACACGTTGTACTCTCAGTGTTCACGTGGATAGGAATTCTCTAAATTCATCCTGCCTTTAAGGCTATAATTAGTGCACTGAACAGGCCTGTGAGTCTGCCTTTCAGAAAACTGAGGTGTGTACCTTCCCTGTATCTCCAGGGCTGAATTTGTTTGCCAGTCAGAGACCTCTCTGGTCAGCTGGCACCAATGCACAGCGTGAGAGGTGAGCTGTGCTTTGCAGAAACCCAATACCATAAGATTTCATGGGTTGAAACAAGTTTAAGTCTTTCAAAGATTGACCAGAATGGTACAGCTCAGAACAGAAATACAACTTTTTCTGAGTGGAATGCAGTTAGCAAGCAAACAGCTGTCTTCTGTGGCATGGGTAGTCTTGGGATACCAGGTAACCTTCAGATAATATTATCTGCTGTTGACGAAGGCAGTGGTCACTCTACATCCAGCACCGATTTGTAAGAGATTGCAGGAAGTCAATAATTTTGTTACCTTGATGACAATAGTTCAACAGGCATAAAGGTAGAGATAAAAATCTTTCTTGGTTTCGTACACAGCTGCTAATATAAAAATACCTATTGCTTAATGTGTTTATCTCTTGTTTGTATTTTTTAAGTGATTTCTCAAGGTTTTGCAATGGAATTTTGCCTCGGGAAATAGTGATCTTTAATTTCAGTGGCACACCTTAGAAGAAAATACTCCTCAAATCAAAAGTATTCTTAGATAGCTTCTTGGTGACATCTCATCGTATCTTGCATCTAGAAGGGCTCAAAATAAATCTTGAATCTCAGTTTCGGAAAACAGCATCTCCATCATATAATTCTGTGATGCACCCGAGTATTGAATGCTGTGTTCCCCTCTTACCCTCTCCGTCATGATAATCCGTCGATGTGTTTTTGCACTTGAATGTAGGGATATAAATTTGCTTTGATTCAAGATACTCTTTATGCCATATGTTGCCAACCCCAAGTTAATGAGACGACAAAGATAGCACAAAGCAATGCAGGGAAATGGGAGCTGTGGCACGGGAAGGAGCAACATCTACTGTTTGAGCCAAAAATTCAAGGGGATTTGAAAGCCCTTACTTTGCACCAGTGAGGTATTATAATCAGCTGAGTTGCAGCATCTTGCCTCTTTGAGAGGCACCATCTCCTTGGCTTCTGTAGAGTTTCTTCTGGTATGTTGAGTCTCTAATTTAGAAAGGAAAAATACCAATTGGCATGTAATTCTAGAAAGATTCCCGTTTCCTGTTCTAACTCATCCTGTATCCAAATTGCATTGCACTGAAGCTCATCTGTTGCCTATTCATTGCCTCAAATCTTCAGGTTCTGACTAGTTACCATAGTACTTAATTTCTCTTTTGATTTTTTTGTGAAATGCTTATTTTGTTCTTTAGTGTTTCTGTGCAGTATTTGCTGAAAAGATTAGAACCAGTAAAAGAATTAACTTGTCCAAATTGTACTATAGCCAATGGGTTTTTGTTAATGCACCAAGTGATACTTCTTTTCATATCATCAGGGAGCAAATTGACACAAATATTCAGTGAATTTCCAAAGGTGGACTTGGTTCTTGCAAAATGTCTGTGGAATTACTTTCAATTTGCTCTGAAATCGCTGCTTTTAGAAGCGTCTTCACAAACTGCCACTGCCCAGCCAGTACTGTGTGATCTGTTGTGTGGTTCTACTGTGTAAATATTATCTGTAGGCACACTGCTCTCTGGGGCACTGTCTGGTGTTGGAGCTTCCACTGTAAGAAGTGTGATGGTCTTAATGTCAAGCAAAAGACTAAGTGAGCTTCTTGTCTTAATTTGCTTAAAATACTGGTTTTTTTTTCCCACTCTCCTGTTTAGTTTGTTGCAGTAGAAGTAAAGTACACTTCAGCTGTTAATTCCAAACGTTTTTAGTTTAAATACAAGTACATAATTTGCTGAAGAAACTTGAGTGGGTTTTGTGTCATTTTCACGTTTTCCATTTCTGTTACTGGATTTGACCATCTTGTAATAACGCTGCATTGTTCATATGGAAAATACTGATTATGAACTCTTCTTTTAGGTTGCCATAAAAATAATTGACAAAACACAGCTGAACCCAACTAGTCTACAAAAGGTAGGTTTAATCTTTCAACTGTATTGTAACTTGTTTTGTTTCACCACCTCCTTCCATTAACCCCGAACGCCTGTGCTGGAGAATCTGAAGCATTGCATACCTTGCACACATCTGACTACTGTATTTAATAACTAGTTTTGTAACAGATATTTTCGACAGCGCTGCAGTTGTTCAAGATGGACTTGTACAGAGCTGTAAACTGAGAATACAGTCGTGTTAGCCACTTCCTTTGTCCGCCAAGTGTAGCACACTCTGCAGAGAGAACGTTCGTGGTTTGGTGTCATGCCCCCACGTCTCCTTCGTTCTGGTCACTTTGTTAAACTTAGAAACACAAAGCCTGTGTTCTGTCCTCTTAAACCCGCCTTGAAAATACTGCCTCTGGACTGGAGGCCAAGCGGTATCGATGCCATTCACGTAGTTTGCAGCAGTAAAGGTGCTGTGGTTTTATGGAAGAAATTGGAGCATGGTTATTCTGGTTTCTTCCCTCTAGCCTCAAATGTTTAATGTGCTGTTACAGTTGTATTGCCTTATCTATTTTAGTAAGTAGTGATAAATCCTAGTCTTTTATCAAGCAAGCCAGTCTGCTTTGGAGTGCCTGCAGGAAGTACATTTAAATGTCACTTTTACCTAGGACTTTTCTAACTCTGTCCTTTTAAGTGCTGCTGTCAAAGGCGCTTTGTTTACTTTTGAGTACTTTGATAAAAAAGCTCCTTGCAGTATTTCTGTTTGAATGTGAGAATACCCAGAACTTACCTGCAAACAAAATGAAATGGCATAACCAGAGTAAACTGGAGAATATACACATTTGGATTTTATACAAATATTATAAAGATCGTGTGACTGTATGTTTTTATCAAAATTAATGGTGCAAAAGTAAATTGGAAAAACACACAAGTTCTTACATTGTACAGTTTGGTTGAGAGGAAAAGAATAAACTGTAGAAGAAAGGCTCTGTCGTCTGGACAGGTAGCAACTTCCTACTGACTCTGTAGACTGGGTAAAAGTAGATAATGTGGTTCCAGCTTTCTCAGGACTTTTTTCAGCTTAATCCCTAAGGTTGTCGGTAATTTCTGAGTAAGCAGGGAGGAAATGAAATGCAAATTAGGTTATATGATGGATTAGATAAAGTTGATTTGTGTGGCAGATCTGTGCAACTTTGAATACCTGAAAAAAATGTTAACTGCTTGAAGCGCTTGGAAGAGAAACAAGAACTGTGATATGAAGGGGAGGAGTCGGGGCATGGGAAAAGGGGGCAGAGAAGAGTAGAGTGGCCGTGTTTTCAGACAAAAATGTAAGATCTAAAGCCTTCAAATGGTGTTATCTTGAGATTGGGCTGTAATGCTAGCTTGAGCTCATATTCAAGTAGAAGGCAAACCTTTTACAAGTCACAGGTGTTGAGCTGGCAGGGCCACAAGCTGGAAGTGTGCTTGTTGGCACTTTGGCTCCTGGGTTGCAGCCTGCTTGCTGTCCACTCGTGTCTCTGTTGTGATTTCGTTTTTATTTACAACTTAAAATTCGATTATAAGGTGTGATTTGTAATTTGGTCTTGTCTACCACTAGTTTTTTTTAAATGAGAGTCTGGAAGAATAGTACAAAATAGCAGGGTAGGAGTCAGATGAAATTTGGGGAGTGAGATTGCTGATGTGCTCTGCTCTCTAAGTTCCTTTGTTATATGAGCACAGAAAAAAATTAGCAAGCTCTATCAGTGTTCTCAATTCAAAAATTGAAAGTAATTTTCTTAAAATTGAATGCCTGCATGTCATAGCAAGTAGAGTGAATGCACAATGCCTTACTTACCGATTTTGCTTGATGGAGGCTTTTTTTGCAAGCCCTTACGCCTTTTCCCCCAGCACTGCCAGCAGTGCCATAGCCTCAGCGCATTTGAAGCCAACGGCGCACGCGACCTGTAGAGGCAGGGGAAGCTGAGATGGAAGGGCTTCTGATCTTGCACTTCTGGAGAGAGCGATAAAATATTTGAGGTATGGTGGGGAGGGCTGTGCCGTGCTGAGAAGAGGGTGTGGTGTATAGTGTCTCAGCTGCGGTGTAGCTGCATACCCCTCGTCATCCTTAGGTGGGGAACCAAATGGTGATTAAGGCTGCCAGTGCTGATTTCTTTGTGTTACGTCTTCCACACCGATACTTCAGCTGCCAGAAAGAAGTTAACCTTGTTCAGGACTTGCTTTGCTTTCTGGAGCAGTAATTCTTGGTACGCCCTCACGGTAAACTCCGGGGCGGCTGCAGTCCTGACAGCTCAATGTTCAGCAGCACAGCTCTTCGGAAGAGTCGGGTTTCTCCTCTGCTGCTGAGGAAGTCTCTGGTAGCCACAGACTCAGCTACTCCCTAACTGTTGTTTTAGGACCTAATTACTACTCTGCTACTCTTGCTTAGCGAAGAGGAAGCTGTGAGCGGTACTTCCCTGCTTTGAAAGAAAAGGGAATTCTTAGAGCTTTTTTCCCATACTCGTGGTGTTAGTCATAATCACTGTTCTCCACAAATGTACTTGTGTACCCGGTTCCAGTGAATATTGGTCTCGCTGGAAACAAGTGCTGATGTAGTAGTTTACTTCCTCCTAGACCAAAGAAAAAAAAATTGTTTGTTTTTTTTTCTTTTGAATTAGCAATGCCATTATATGCAAGGTTTTTTTTTTACCAAGCCCATGTAATAGCACTTAATCACTTCTTGTTTTCCTTTTTTAGAACTTGGCTCCTCAGCCAAATATTTTTGTTCATTATGTGCAGATGTTTTGCCACTTGTTTGGGTCATGTTTTTGTTAAAGCTTTTTAGAGTTCTTAAACATCAATTTTAACATGGACCATGTCCTTTCTGACCATGGGTGAATCAGTATTTTAGAAACTACAAGAAAAGGATGAGAATTTAAAATGCCCAGGCTCTTCTGTTTGTAGCAGGTATTTTTTCTGTTTTCAAGTTGTGGTTTGTTTGAGGGAAACTCGCATTGTGTAAAGGCTTCCTGCTGGAGGCTCCTAATTATATGTAGGCCAGATTTCAGTGAGCGGTTATCCAGAGGAGCCTAATACACAGGTAAAGCTTGAGCTGGCTTGGGACAGCATCTTGTGAAAAGCTCCCTGCTTTGGGGGGAAGGAGTCCAGGATACGCTCTGCATCTGACGAGTGTACTGACTTGCTTTTTAGCAAACTTTTTCAGTATTTTTAAAGTCATTTGTTACCAAAACTCTTGCAATAGCTAATGCAAGAACACTTCTAATCTGTCTTTCAGTGTGTTCAAAAAGACTTGGCTTAAAAGGTGGGTTCTTCTTTCCCCCCACTCCCTTGTTGCTTCTGATATGTCAGCATAATCAAGTAAAATTGATTCAAGATTATTACTCAGTATGAGTGCTCCATTGCTGGTTTGTTGAGGTTGGGTTTTTTTTGTTTGTTTTTTTTTTTTTTTAGAGACTAATGAAGTTGGCTAGCAGCATTAATTAAATGTAATTCTTTCTCCATATCTAACATGGCTTACAGTCAAAAGACCAGACCACAACAAAGCTAAAAGCCGTTTGTTTGGCAGACTAAGGATGTTTGTCTTTGCCTAGAAACATTTGTAGAGCTCCTGTTGACGGAAAATGAGCTGTTCAATAAGTTGGGAGTAGTTTTTCATCTCGGTGTTGGAAATTAAACTGATAAGCACTGTTTTCAGTTGATTGTCTGCCTCTGTGGTCTCATTATGACAAGTTCGTTCCTAAAACTAAGAAAATTTTCTCCATTGAGAACCTTCACATTACATCTTCTGATGTTACACCTTCTTCTGTGTTCCTGTGGCAGAGAACGTCAGATGTGTGGGCTTGTGTCATAGCTGACTGTTTACTATGAATTTCACTGTGTGATGATAAATACTACTTCATTTGCTAGAAACTGATGCACATAATGTTTGGGGGGAATTAAATATGGGAAACCCTTTTTCGGTACACTGTGTGAAAGTTGTTTGATGTTCTACATTGTATTCCTCTATCAGAAATAGACTATAATACATAATACAATGTCAGGCATTTGCAGATATCCCTGTGGAAGTTGCTATCTGTGTCAAAATGCCACACATAACATTTAGACTGACTAGGGGAGCACAGTCTGAAGTGCGTTTATCTAACTAAAATTATAATAAAGAATTTGGTGGTGGTTGTATCCCGTTCTCAAGTATTTTTATTTTTAATTTCCTCTGAGACAAAAATAGTCTTTTTTAAAAAAAGCTTATTTCTAGTCACTCACTTCAACAAATGGCTCATATGTAGAAGCTGTGAATGACATGCTTCATTTGGGTTAGTAATGCAGAGTAGTCTTCTTGTGGACCAATGTCATATTTAGAGCAGCCCAAAATGTTGTATGAGCCTGACTTTATCACATTAGACCATCAAAGTGTACAGTGTACAATGGAGGAAGTAGGTAGCTCCAGCCAAGTCAGCGTACTTCGTTTAAAAAAAAAAAAAAAAGAGACTAATGAATATATATATTTTCATGATAATATTGTGAATTTTACCCTCATTTTTACTGTCTTATTCTATATTGCCCTTGGTTGACTGTTCCTGTTGGGTGGCACCAATTATGACTGCCTGTATTCCCATACTTAATCCTATGAACGTATCTCTTCTTTTCAGGTGGGTAAGGTGATGCTAAATAGACTAATGGCTGAATAACAGCCAACCAAGGTCTTCATCTGTGCAGCAGTGGAGTTGCCCTTGGTGAGAGTCTGATCCAATAGGCTTTATCGGAGTATTGGGGGTGGAAGATATCAACAATCAATTGAGAGCGATTTAAGCAAACTGTCTTCAGAACTTTAAGAGCTGACTAGAGGCTTTCAGTTTTATAAACTGTGATTAAAAGTTTTATTGGAGTATTCAGAATATATTATGCACCAGTTCAGCTGAACTGAATGAAAAATAAGAAAAAAAATAGCTATAGATTCAACTACTTTTAAATTTCTGATGATCAGAGAGAGATAGTGAAGTAGTCTACCTTGTCTAATTATATATGAAAAAGTTCCAGAAATAACACAGTTTTGGGGGGAAAAAAAGGCAATTTACTTATCTCTTGAGTAAAAAAGAAAACATGCATGTGTAGTTTTTGAAACTCTTTTGCATTGCCAAAAATTTACTTGATCGATCAATCCTGATAGCATTTAAGCAGCTTGTCATCTAGCAAAGTGTCAGACATAGACCTGGATAATGATAATAAGATAATTAAAAGCATTTGGAAAACTGTTTGGTTTTACTCTGTGTTCAGGTAGTGCCATTCACAGCTGTGGCTGTAGTGTGGGGGAGAATGTCTGTTGGGCAGTGCAATGAGGACTGCTCCTCAAATAAAAGCCTTTACAGAAACCTCAGAAAGCAGAGAATGGTTAGAACAACTGTCTCCAAATTGTGATTTTTTTTTTTTATTTTTTTTTTCCCCTTTCTATCTATTTATGTATTTATTTCCCACCCCCTGCATTTTCTTTTATTAAAAGACGCAAAGGCATAAGGATTTTGTTTTGTTAACTCTTTGGTAGTTTTCTCTTGGTTTCCTATGTTTCACTTTTTTCTTTTTTTTTTTTTATTGAGTAAGTACACCTACAGATTTTTGAGTCGTTAGTAATATGTGTAGACATATTAAATGTCTGCACTTTATCTGAAATCTGACCTGAGGCAAATCTTGCAGCAGCACTTTTTGCTGCCTTAGTGTTAATAACAATGCTGTTATCTCTTATTTACAAAACTTTTTCTCCCATGTCTGCATTCCTTTGGAGCTGTGGACTTTCATTCTGCTTCAGTCTCTTTACATTAAGTTCAATATGATCTGTTACATTACTACTATTCCTGTAGAAGTTGGTGTTAGGTATATAATAAAATCTCTTGATTACTCCCGCTTTTTGAAGCATGCTGTTAGAAAAAATCAAGGCTTAAGAATGTCAGCCCTCTGGAGTCTTGGGCTGGCATGGCGGGAGCTGCAGAGAGAGAACAGCTACGCGCTTGACTGCCATATAATGTGCTGCCTAAAAAGATAATTCTTTGGATTTTCTGAATACAATAGTATTTGCACTTCAAGATCTTTTGTAATTTTTTTTTTTTTTATCTTGGGTCTTTTCTGGGAGAAGTGGGACTACTTTTACTTCATCTGCTATTAACCGTCTTCATTAGAAGTGATGTTTTATATTGCAGTAACAACACCCGTGGCATTTTTAGTATTACACTTACGGGTTTGTGTGCATCTCTTAATTGTCTTTTGCAGAAGAGGGTTTTCAGGGGTGAAAGTAATTAACAGCTGATCAGTAATAGACGTTGCTTTCATTTTTGTTTTATTAAATGCCATTCCCATACTATTGTCCAGTTGCAGGATGACAGAGTTTACTCTGTGTCACTGGCAAATTGAACTCTCTGGAAATAACTACTCGAGCAAGACCCTCTTCACTGTGGGTATTGGTGTCGGGGCCAGGAACAAGATCCGTGCAATCAGTCTGTGGTCTCTGGATGCAGCACCATTGATCTAACATGATGCTGCAGCTGCAATGGGCAGTCGTACTCCCTCACCACCCATCCTGCCAGAACAGATGTGCTGCGGTGGCTAAGGGAGCTGCAACAGAAAACTTAGAGATGGAGTGCTTTTATTTGGGGGGAGTTTTGTGTTTTCTGAGATTTTCTGTGAGATTTTCATTCCTGGACCTTGTGTGTCAGTCTTGCATAAAGGGAAGCGGGATGATCCTGTTGCGTAGGAAGGTGGGTGATGAAGAAGGCAGGAGCAGGCTGATCCCTTTGAGACTATACCCCTGAAGTAATGGCGTTTCTTCTGTCTGCTGGGCACTGTTGGGTCAGGAAAACACTGTTTGTGTTCTGCCTTATTAATTTTGGCAAGTACGTTCAGCGTGTTGTACTGGCCGAGCAGGCTTGGAGGCTGGATGTCTGGCAGTGAGAGTTAGTGGAGCTGCGGTGACAAACCCAGGACTAGGTGCTACCATGGCTCAGACGCCCTGCA